TTGTCCTTTGCGATGAGGTCATTTCAGGAGCTGCCAGGGGACCACCGATTCATCTTTTCAATGAGCAACTCAACTCTCTGAACTCGGAGGAATGAAGGGTGTGTGGATAGCAGATGTTAGAATACAACAAGGCTCAGGCCAAGGCCAGCCCCAATGCCGAGCCCAAGACAAAGAATGGCCATAAGCACGGCCAGCTTAACGGGGTGAGAGGCAGCCCATAAACGCAACGTCAAGCCGTCCCGGCGACAGCAGCAGCATGGGCCATGGCAGCATCCGGATTCGTCATTCAAGTCGAGGTATTCATCACCGGCCGCAGCAGCCTCCAGATCTTCTTCTCCACGTCGCTTGCCCCGCTTGCACCGCTTATGCTTGCCCGGTCCTGCAGCCAGGCGAGTATCCGAGGTCTTGCTCGGAGGTGTCATCAGCTCAATGTCATCCGTGCTGGCATCGGCATCAAAGTGCAGGCCACCAATGACCACCTCTCGACCGCGTTGGGAAGGGCGAACGAAGGAAGGCGACGAAGAGCCCTCAAAGGTCGAGGTTGGCCGACGTGGTGGTAGCGGGACAGCACCCACACTGGTGCCGGTTGAAGCGTGACCATTCAACATCTCGGGCAGCGTCTCGTCAAACATGTCCTCTTCCTGCAGAAACCCCGTGAACATGGTCTCTGCGCTTGTCGAGGCCTAGACCGTGCACCAAGCAAAACCGGTGAGTAAGCAAGGACTGGGCGACAACTTAAGCAAGGACTGGGCGACAAATTAAGCAAGGAAATTAAGCAAGGACTGGGTGACAAATTAAACGCGGATGCTACCACGGAGGAAAAACTTTCAAATTCTTACCGCAGACAGGGGTGCGCTGGGGGATTCCACATCCGAGCCACTGGGATGACTTGCCCGGGCCGGGGGCAGCGTCGGGGGACGATCGCTGCGCCGTACGGCTGGCGCATCAAAGGCGTCGGCCGATTCGTACAGCTCCTCAAAGTCCTCCGTGCGCGTCTCCGCAACCATTTCGTAATCACCCATCGTAGAGTCTAGGTCCAGCTGTGCCGGGCGCGCGGGTGCAACAGCTTCAGGAGCAGCATACACTGTTTCACCGTAATCCATCGTATCAACCGCGTCTGAAGCTTCGTAGAGATGTTCCTCCGGTGGTGGATCCTCGTGCACGGGATTTGTGCGCCGATGAGGAACAGGGCTTGGTGCACCGAGCGAGATGGATCCCGGGGTAGTCGTGGTCGTTGCTGGCCCCTCACTTTCATTGGGCGCAGGTGTCACCGCCGGTGTTATCAGCTGTGCGGCGGCAGATGCAGGCCCGTTGGCAGTCTTGGCGGCCCTCTCGGCGGCCCGCTCGGCCCGGCGCCGAGCCTGTCGCTCGGCCAAGGCCTCCAAAACAGCCGCATCCCCCTCATACTCATGAAACAAGGCTTTACCTTTGGCTGCTGTGAGTGATGAGGTCGAGGATGCAGAGGATGCATCTGATGCCGCGTCGTCATGATCATCAGCCTGGGAAGTCGGCGCACCGGGCGCGTGTGCGGGACGAAAGACAGGTAGCTCATAGTCATTGCTGCCCGCATCGACGGCTGCAGGCGTTGGGGTCTCTCCGTCAGACTCTGACACTGGAATAGGCGGCGGTGTTCGGCGCCGGGGAGCTTCAGACACGACCGGGTCCGAAGGCAGGGGTGGTGGAGAGTTGGACCCTTCCGAGCCAATTGCTGCACCTTGGCCTGAAGCCCCGTTGGGGTCAACATCGACGTTGGGTACCGGCAGCGCGGGCATGGTCGTCGTCGTGTCTGTGGCGCCATCATCCGAGGCCAGGGGTGCGGTGCTGTGGGTTGCCGCCTCTTTGCGTGGGAGGTTTGGGCTGGCGGGTGCCGAGGCGTGCGGGCTGCTGGAACGGGAGCGGGGAGGCAACGGGGGCGCCAATTCAAGGCCTTTGTGGGCGGCTTCAGGCGTGGCTGCGGGTGAGCCTGGCTTAGAGGGTAGCTTGGGAAGATCGGGCAAATCAGGCAGATCGGGCAAATCATCAAGATCTTCCTCTCCTTGCTCGCTTCGGGGTGGGGGGCGGCCGTGGGGAACGGGCGAAAGTGCCATATACTCGGCATCATCGACCACGGAAGCACCGGTTCCCATCTCGACAACGTCGATGGTGGGGACAAGCAAGTTGCGAGGTTTTGATTCCGAGGCGTCTGGCATTGCGGACGCAGTAATGGTGTGACGGCGCGTGGACCCGGTGTCCCGATCGGTGCCTTCAAAGCGGCGAATATAAGTGCCCACATGGCTATGCGTGCGATCGCGCAAGGTGGCAGCTTTGGAGTCGCGCTCTGAATCGCCAGGTTGGGCCGGAAGCGGGTTTGCTTCCATGGCTGCCGCCCAGGCCGTCTTGTGCATGCGCATGACACCCGTGCCCGCAGACACGGGCACCATGTAGATGCTGTGTTCCGAGTCTGAGTCACTCATTGCACCGATTCAGATGGTAAGGGGGGAGCTTTCAACCCTGCGGCCGCTTGCACCAGGAGCAAGCGCGCGCGCGCATGCGCAGCCGCCACCACCGACCCAAGCGCGTCAAGTTGACCAGAGGCACAACGCCACCGACGGCGACCCGGGGACGGGGTGGTGGTGGGATCTCACACAGTCCGTGTCGGTTACAAATCCAGAAGGTGGGCGTGTCTCATTGCCATAGTCGCCTCGACGAGGCAGAGGACCCAGCCAACCCAACACCAAGGACGTACCGCCACTGATATCAAGCCCCGCCCGTCGCCCCGTCCGTTCCCGTCCGTCTCTGCACGTTTCAGCCTCGATCGTCAAACAAGGAGCAGCGTGAGCGGGTGCGTCCCCGTTGCCGCCGCCGCCGCCGGATGAAGAGAGAGAGAGAGAGAGAGACAACAAATTGCTTTATGTGTGAGACGCCGTGACACTCTTCATCTCTCTCTTCATCTCTCTCTCAGCGCGCGCTCTCTCTCTCTCTCTCTCTCTCTAAATCTCTCTCGATCTAAATCTCTCTAAATTAAATCTCTCTCTCTCTCTTTTGATTCAATTCTCTACATAAACCCAGTATTTTTATTCAAAATCTAACTCTTATCATGTTATGTAAACTACAATAACTATATTATTTCATACTACATAACACAGCTACGTAATTGCAGTTATTCGGCTCGACTTTTAACTCTTTATATATTATATAAACTGCAATAACCCCACTTTTTGCTGCAGGAAATCTTCAAGGCGCTCCAACTAGCTTCCGAGCGCGCACCTGTCGTCCCGTACGTCCACCTCCCGCCCCCCGGCCCTCCTCGGCATCCGTCCGGCCACTGGTCACTGGGCACTGGATGCTGGTCACTGGGCACTGGGCACTGGTGGCTGGTCGTTACAATCTGCTCTCTTTTTTTTTTCTTCTTCTTCTTGTCTGCCTTGTTTTGGTTGCTGATTTGGGTCTTTGCTTTGGAACCTCTTTCGCGAATGCCTCGTGTCCAACTTCTCACTGGCCCGACGGCTCGCTCGCTCGCCCACTTGCTCTCTTTCTCTGAATTGGCAGGCGGCAGGAGGGAAGGAGGCAACATGAAGACATTAGTATACCCCAGTCTGAGCCTGTGGGCCCTTGGGGCCGTACTGGTGGCCAGTGCTGCCACGGTCACCCAGCAAGGTCCCCTGGCATCACCGACGACCAAGTTTCAGGTCGTTGCCCCGAAAAAGTCCAACATTCACGCCAGCCCAGTGCTGGTCCAAGACGACCTCTACTTTAGCACCCTTGAACCGGGTTGTGCGCTGGTCAAATGCAATGCCTACACCGGCGAGGTCCTGTGGACATACATGCGCAACTCGTCAGCTCGCTGCGGTCTGCGAACCGTCCCCGTCTATGCCAATGGCCTCGTGCACATTGGCACTGACAACAACACCTTTGCCGCACTCGATGCTGAGACTGGACAAGTCGTGTGGTCCTACCAGGCCAGGTTCAACCTGTGCATCGACGGCAACTTCTACCACCCGTGTGAAGCCTACTCCACGGCTCTCATCGTGGATGGCCGACGCATCCAGGGTTCCGAAGATAACACCACCCGCTGTTTCGACGCCGCCACCGGCGAGCTCCTCTGGAATTTCACCGCCCCCAACATGATGAACGGCTCGCCCATTCTGGACCCCAGCGGTGGCGTCCTCATTGGCGCGGACGACGGTCATTTTTATCGCCTTGATATCGCCACTGGCGCCTACCTCGGACGCTACAACCACTGCGGTGCCATGGACACTCGCCCCGCCCTCGACATCGCCTCGGGACGCATGTATGCCGGCTGCTTTATCAAAAACGACAATCCTTCTGGTCACGACATCTCTGCTCTCGTGGCCATCGACACAGTCGCCAACAGCACCCTCTGGACTCGCACTCCAGGCGGTGTGCCCATCTACAACGACTACTATGGCGCTCTCTTCGTCGCCGGCTTTGACGGCACCGCTTATGCCGTCAACACCTCCAACAATCAAGTTCTCTGGAATGTAACTTTCCTCCCCGATACCCCCAAGCTCTTCTTTGGCCCCTTTGTCCTCGATCAGGTTCGCCACCGCCTTTACGTCGGCAACGTCAACGGCGTCGTCTACGCCCTCGATGTAAACGACGGCGCCGTCGCCTGGACATTTCGCACCCAAAACGCCATCGCCCACCAGCTCGGGGCCACCCTCTCCACCGACAACAACATTCTCTACGTTGGGTCGTATGATGGCACCCTCTATGCCATTGACCTCACTTCCGTCGCGTAAACCCCCGTGCTTTTGCAAACCCATCCGAAACTGACGATCGATTCTGCCTGATGCATAGCTATAGAGCGTATCACGATGCCCCTCGGTGGCCAATTGATTTATCTCATTTATGCATCACAACTCAATCGATTGGCACCGTCCATATTTTGCCAAGGGACACGATCGCATCACCTCGACGTGCCTCTCTCTGCCAGGCTTACAGATACAAACTGGGCGCAAATACAATGTCACGACGAATCGCCGTCACCCCCTACACACACACACACAAGCACGCACAAGCACAGGGCCGTGAACCAACTGATGCAAGAAAGTTGGCAAGACTGAGACACAAACAAACCTCGGCAAACTTGTTTTCCAGCTCCGTGTTCCCGATGGCCTTGGCTGCAGCAATCATCTGCTTCAACAGCTCTTCCAGCCGACGCATGGCACGGATGATACTACCCTCGAACATGTCCGTCTTCTCACAAATCTCGGAAAACTTGCGTCCTTGAGCCCAGTCATGCACCACCTCCAGCATTTCCACTGGGAATTGCTACAGCAGTCAATCCCATCCCCGAGGTCAGGCACATGCACTCGACACTCCAGCCTCAAAACACGTGATCCAATACCATGGATGCTTCAATGACACGTGCATGTGCACGCGCGTACCTCGGCGTAGCTCTGCATGTCCACATCCAGCTTGGTGTCAATCGACACGCGAGCAATTCGCCGTGCATTTTCCTGCAGCCCCCCGGCAAAACGGGAGCGGGTCAGTTCCGCTGCTGCAGAAGCATTTGCCAATGTTGCCCAGTGCAATGCCGTCCGGTGCAAGGCCACCCGAAGCTTACCTGTACTTGATTGAGCGTGTTGGTGAGATCCTTCTCAACTGGTGACTTTTCCTTTTCCTTCTCCTTGCTATTGGCTGTGCCGAGGATAAAGATGGATAGCAAGGCCACGCTGTGCGCCACTTTTTCATCCGAAAAATAACCAAGGCAAGGACACACAAATGATATGAGCATAGGACATGCCACATGCCCGCACGCTGCCTCGCCCACCCAAGCCTTTGCTGCCACCGATGCCAGACGCACTTGATAATTCATTGAAAATGCCATTGAACATCAGTTCTGTCAGCAAAAGCTCATCGCCCGTGCTCACTTCACAGGCCACGCGGCCCTTCAGCTCAATCACGTCGTCATTCGTCGTGAATTGCAACCTAAGAGATCACCAACATGAGATCACCAACATGAGATCAGCACCACGCCCAGGGTCACGTTGTGACTTCCCGACAGGCCCTTTCAAATTGCTGGGCCCCTTTTCCGTCGTCGATCACTGACCGGCGGAGGACGCGCTTCATGTTCTTCAGCTCATCCAGCTGCTGAATGCTGTGACTCTGCTTGAGGTCCTTCTTGAGCGAGGACACAAGCTCGCGCAGGCGCACCTTGGTCACAAACAAGGCCATCATGTCATCGCGCTTCTCACTCTCATGCAACGCATGGGCAAAAAGACTGCGCAAAATCACCATTAATGAGCCGCGATAGGGCAGGAACAAGCGATGCAACATCAGCGACACCAAGTCAGCGCAACACGCATGAACAAGAAAAAGGCACCAACCGCGTCTCCAAAGTCTGGATCTTGCCCACAAGGCCGCGCGCATAGTCGGTGGAAATTTTCATATCCTCAATCGGGTCCAACAAAGGCAACCCTATTCAAATTTGGACCAGCTGTGAGCACGACCATGTCGACAGTGTCCGCACCCCTGATCTGTGATCTCACGGCCAAATCTCGTTTGCGCTTCTTTCCCCATCCCAAACACACTGCTTTCCCCAAAACCGCAAGAACGCACCTTCCGGGAAGCGTCGAATGGCCTCTTGCAAAGCGTTGAATGCTGCGCGGCGTTTATCAGCACCAGACAAATCCTTGGGCAAGAAGAGGCGCACCTAGAGAGCCATGATAGAGCAAGAATTGGCTTTAAACCTGGCGCGCGACGCAACGCGACAAATATCCGCCAATGCTAATAGGACGGAGGCAAGCAACAAACCTTTGATATCTGTGACAGCACTGGCAGCAACACGGGCGTCACCTTGTACTCGCCCTTGTCGGTGGGCGTCGAAATGGGGCGTGGCTTCTTGTTCTGCGATTACAATCCACATGTATTGGCATAGGGTCAGTAGGCACTTGGCTCGACATCTTGTTCCAAATGGCAGTCAAGTGCAAGCCAATGACATACGCCGGCATCCGAGGCCACGTGTAAAAGCGTGGTTACAACAATCTGCTTCTCCTCTGCTTGATTCTTGCCGTTACGCTTGCTTTTCACCGCACGCTCCTTAAAGTCCACCACAATGCCCCAGCCAAAGTTTTGCTCGCCGTCGCGCACCTCGACCACACGACCGGGCTGTAAGAAAGGAACAATGGTCTGTGGCTCCGTAATGAGAGTCCGCAGCTCCTCGCCGAATGACTCGAGCTGCTTGCGAATGTTGTAGTATTCCTGCCAAAAGGGTCACCACCCCATCAGGTCCCGTAAACACGGCGAGGCCAGGCCCTAGGGACCCAGTTTCATAGAAAAGGTACGCCGCGTTCTGCACCAACCTCGACCTTTGCTTCGTCCTCAATGACAATCTCATCGTGTTGCCGCTGGCGCTCGGCAATTTTAGCCTCGAGGCCCGGAATGGCTGCACGACACACACCCAACACCATAAATCAGAATCACAGTGAAGCAAGAAGAAGTCAGGACTACAGCGGCCGTGCTCGAGCTTGGGAGAGACGAAGCGAGAGGCGCGATTTACAGTCCCCAGAGGCTGACCTTGAGAATTCTGGAATTGGCGGAACGAACGCTGCAACATGTACTCTGGATTGACCTCCTCGACACGCAAAAGGTTGAGCACCATGTTGTACGTGAGGTGAAAGGCCGAGTTGAGTTGATCTGCCTGCCCCTGCAGCATCTGCTTGGCAAAGGTTGGCTGCAGAATTTGAATAAGAAAAACAAGGAAAAAAGGGGGTCGGTTGGTCAGTGAGTCATTCCACGAGCTGTAGATTCGGGTTGAGCAGCATCATGAAACATAGTTGCCGGCACGACATGACACGACAGCGGTCCAGGTCTGCCATAATGGTCTGAAGCTGAATCCTACCTCTACTTTTTCGTCCATCATCAGGATCACAATGCCACGATCATCCAGACCACGACGGCCGGCACGACCAGACATCTACACGATGGTTCAGAACAGCCACATTTGTTGACAAAAAAAAAAGATAGAAAGTAAGTGTCTCGGGTATTCGAAATCATGATCGGTGGCGTCTGCTCGCGAGCAACAAGGTATTTGATCCTAGGATGTCACCTGAATGTATTCGCCCGAAGTGAGCCAGCGATGTTCAGTGCCGTCGTATTTGCGAGCGTTGGTGAAAACGACGGTGCGGGCAGGCATGTTCAGGCCCATGGCAAAGGTCTCGGTCGCAAAAAGAACTTTGAGCAGGCCCTCGCCAAAGAGAATCTCAATGACCTCTTTGATCAGGGGCAAAAGTCCACCATGGTGAATACCAATGCCCTTGAGCAGCAAAGGCAAGACTTGGCTGACCTATGCAAGCGGAAAAGCGCCAGAGTATTCGTGATTATTGCCAGCAAGAAAGAGACCAGGTAGATAAGAGCGAATTTTCACGTGCACGGCGAGTCCCAGCGCGCACCTGTGGCAGCTGCTTGTCATCCTCGCTCAAGATATCAATGGCATTTTTGAAAATCATTTCGATCTGCTGCTTCTCTTCCGCTGTTGGATGCACCACACCATACACAAGGTCAGGGCAATCTGGACCCGATAGCCAACGCAAAGGTTTACTTTTTCAAGCGAAAGTCTTAACACGTACAGGTTGTGAAATCCTCCAGGGAACATTGCATGGCGTAAGTCTCGCAGTCACGCTTGCTGAAGGAGAAGACAATGCAAGGCTGATAGCCTCGCTTCATGATCATGCGCACCATAGAGCGCATGGGTGATTTGCCTGTAGTCAAGATGACCGAACAGATGAGCGCAACCCAGTTGATCATAACCCCCTCCATCGCGCACGCACGCACGCACGCACACACACACACACACACACACACACACAACACACAGCAATACACTGACCTTTTTGGTGCTTTGAGCGCTGCTTGTTGGCCGCACCCCCTTCTGATAGGCTCATCATGGCCTTCATAAAGCTATCTTCGCGGAATGCACCTATGGGATGTGCCGTTGAGAATGGTCAGACGGGCGTGTGTGCACACACGAGTGATCTATTTCGCTGAAGCATGACCCAAAGATCTTGCCATACCGGTTTCATCGACAACCAAGTGGAGGCCATCGCCACCCTGAGGGTACAGGTAGTGCTGCAGAGGGGTGGGGCGGTAGTTGGTATACACCACATGGCACGGCTGCAACGACGCGAAACAGATGGGATGAGTAAAACCAGACCGTGCAGTAGCTGTAGGCAGAGGCTTCTCCGCAGAAGCACGAATAAAACAGGAGAATCAGTCGTGGACTCTGACCTGCTGGTGCACAGCACAGATCCACTGCGCAAATTGAAGGGCGTTGGGAATGGTGGCGGAGAGGAAGACGTAGTGGACGTTGTCAGGTAAGAGAATGATGGTACCGCGCTCCTGGTCACGCATGTAGTGAATCTCATCAAAGACAACCAGCCGACTTCACGCATAATCTAGAAGTGGTGGCAACAAACAGTGATATGAGGGGAAGGAAAGGGGGGTGCAAGGCAAAGCGAAGGCGCGTGGGATACCAACCTCAGAGCCGCGGTAAAGCATGGAGCGGAGAATCTCTGTTGTCATGACGAGGCACGACGCCGTCGGGTTGATGGTGGTATCGCCTGTTTGCAATGATTGTGCATGTTTCAGCGCACACAGAAATGAGTGCCGCAGAGGTGCGTCCGTGTGATGTGTGCGGGACATATGGTCCGCTGACGATGATGACGAGTGCGGCCAGGACAATTTCCCACCTGTCATGAGCCCGACATCACCAAACTCTTCGGCGAGCTCGCGGTATTTCTGGTTACTGAGGGCTTTGATTGGACTGGTATAGATGACGCGTTGGCCCTCGCGCAGCGAGAGGGCGATGGCGTATTCAGCAACAACTGTTTTACCAGCCGAAGTGTGCGCCGACACAAGAACGCTCTGCGCATGCACATTGGATGTTCGGCGCATATGAATGAGTGAGGCGAGCGCAAACGGACACGATTTCTGAAGCGGCATGCAAAACCCAACTGGCCGTCGCACTAACCTCACTGCGTTCGATGCAACGAATGGCCTCCCGCTGGAAAGGATCCAGAGTGAACGGGTACTCTTTAGCCATTTGCTTGGGAAGTGGCGTGTCCTTCAAGGGGATGTAGTTGTAGCCCTGAGGCAGGGCAACTTCATGGGTGCAAGCCTTGGCTCCGGTAGCGATGATGTTGCGCGAGCCCTCGGCCATGGGAGTAAAATCCATCTTGGCTTGAGGTGCGGCTGTGCGGGATGGTGAATTGGAATGAAATGAGAGGTTGATGGCTCAAACAAGGCCACAGATTGACCATGAAATGGAACACGGGCTTACCAAGTGCCTGTTGACGCAGCTTGTTCTGTTTCTGTCGCTCAGCGCGAGCCTGTAGCACAAGCATCATCAGTGAGCGCGACACCAACGAGCAGCGCGGGGAGCGTGGGTAGGCAAGCACAAGAAAGCAAGACAATGGAAACTCCGTCCAGCCACGTGAAGGGCAGCTAGACCAAGGCGTGCCACAAGAGCTACGAGGCTCGTAGACTTATCGCGAGGTACAACTGAGGAGCGGGCTGGAACGAGATTACGCACGGCGGCTTCGGCCTCGAGAGCTCGGAGAGCACCATTGGGCTGGGCAGTTTTGGGTGTGGTCTGAGCTGGCGCGAGCTCGGGCAGGGGTGCGCTGGCGCTGGGTAGGGCAGGAATGGCACGCAGGCCAGCGGCATCTTGTTGCGGCTTTGTACGCTTGGGCTGGGGCTCGGGAGTGGGAGCCGCTTCCGAGGCTGGCGCTGAGTTTGAGCCCGAGGCTGGGGCTGGCGTGCGAGGGGTCTCGGTTGTGGATGACGCCTGGGCATCAAAGATGCCAAACATGTCGTCCAAATCCATGGCACCGGGTCGATGTTGTGGCACGTCACAACAAGGGGAAAAGCCCGAGGTCCAACAGAACTGAAGACCGCCTAGACACGATTCATAAGACGCGATGCTGAGCGACGTCGAGGTCCACACACGCTCTCGTATTCACATAAAAAAAGAGACGCACCAACAAACGTCAACGGCAGTGATCTTGGCAGCAGCAGCAGCAGCAGCAGCAGTAGCAGCAGTCGCAGCAGTCGCAGCAGTCGCAGCAGTCGCAGCAGTCGCAGCAGTGAGCAACCAGTGACCAAGGGGGGGCCCGAGCCCAAAGAAGACAGCAGAGCAAACAGCAGCAGCAGAGACGGCGCAGCGTCGGCCTCGTGGAACTGCTCTCTCTCTCTCTCTCTCTCTCTCTCTCTCTCTCTCTCTCTCTCTCTCTCTCTCTCTCTCTCTCTCTCTCTCTCTGTGAGCGCGTGTGCGGTAGTGTGACCTTTTATCACACTTGAGATGATGATTTCAAGAGTTGCTGGATGGAGCAGTGAAA